GGGGACGGAGGGAAACCTGACCTGATCGGAAAAGAGCGATCGAAGGGGAGACTAATTCGTCCGCCGGGGTCCTCGCTGGCTCTGGCTGCCCGCCGGGGCGGGGTTAGCGCGGGGGCTCCGGCAGCTCCGCGGAGGAGAGAAGGGGGAGGGAGCTTTCTGCGCGCCCCTGGGACACGGCCCACCTCGGTCTTGCACGTTGGGGTCAGAGCTTCGCGCTTGCGAGGCTGGAGGAAAGCTAAGAGCCGGTTCTCTGGAGACAAGTAAACAGACCGACAGACGGGGACCAGAGGTGAGAGGCGGCGCGAATGCGAGGGGAGAGACCCGCGGAGACGGAGCGCGCGGGTGGAGGGCCCGAAACCCGGCGAGGACAGCGGGCTCCCTCGGCTTCCCTCCCTCCTCTGCTCGCGCCGCGTCTCCAGCCAAATCTGACGCGCCTGCTCCACCTCCACCCCAGGCGGGCCCCCTCCCCTGCCCCCTACCAGGGTTAGGTCTCACCTGGGGAGGCGTGCCGTGAAGAAACCGGGTTTTTGCCAGATCTCTCCACGAAATGCTGTGTTCACCACTTGCCCTGGGCAAGTTACGTAAACACTCTGTGCCTCCAAGTTCTCATCTGTAAAATGGGGGTTAAAATGGTACCTGCTCATGATGCTGTCTAAGGATTAATAAATTAATACACGTAAAGTGCCTGGAACAGTACCTGACATACAGGAAGCCCTCAATACTTGTTAGATATTATTATTCATTTATCCAACAAAGCTTTGTGAAGCGCTCACTCTCTGCGAGGCCCTGCCTAGGTTCAGGGAGGCAGAGGGGAACTGGGCCGACGTGGTACTTGCCCTCCCCGAGCGCGTTTACTGCTAAATAAATAAACAGGGTGTTATCAGTGAGTAAGAAAGACTAAGAAAGAAAGAAAAGGGGTAGTGCGATGGCGTGACTGGGGAAAAGAGCAATTTTAAGTGGAAGGAGCCAGCTAAGTCCCTCTGCCCCTCTCTGTGCCTCAGTCTCTCCCTTCAGTAAAACGAAAGGCTTTTTCTGACTCTTTCTAGAGCTGGGTGCCAAAGGTGGGAGCTGGGCGGGGGAGAGCGAATCAGAGACCCCATCCTCTTCGCCTCCTCTGCCCACTGGAGCTCCGCCCCTCAGGGGGGGAGCGCCGCGCTGAGTCTCCAGCGGTCACAGAAGCCTGATGCTTGCCAGGAATCTGCAAGGGAGGAAGGCTGGAGTTCAAGGAACCGCCTACTGGGGTCAAGCTTCTAGGAGGGAACTATGTATGCGCACCATGGACTCCTGGAGAGCGAATTCACTGTCCCCTCCATAACTGGGAGGCACAGTGTGCAAAGAGATTTCTTTTACACTTTCCGGCTTGCCCCTGACAACCACGTGGCAAGCCGGTGGACACTGCTACCACCCTCATTTTATAGATGAACAGACTGTGGCTCACAGAGGGGGAAATGTTAATCCCACCTGACTCTAAGCCCTGAGTTTGACCCTGCTACACTACCTCTCACTTTTCTGAGTATAAATAATGTTTTAAAGATACTAAATATCCATTAATGCCTACTATGTGTCAGGCCCTGGGCTTATGTGGTTTCATTTAATCATCAGAGCAATCTTGAAAGATAGTCTTTTTTCCAATTTTTCAGATAAGGCCACTGAGGCTCAGAGCCCTGAAGTCACTTACTCAGGAAAGAGATGGAGTAGATATTTCATCTCATGTCTGTCTACTCCAGAGCTGGAGCTGTTTCCATTTCAGCAGAAAGTAAAAAATTCAGCCTCCAATGGAGGGCACTCTACCAGGGCAGAGGTCACCGCCGACCCTCCTCCCTGTTTCTCCTCTGGGTTCCCAGGGCCTGGGTCATGGAGCAGCCCCTCTCTACCCATGATCAGCACAGAGTGAGGCAAAGGCTCTTCTGATTTAAACAGGAAGGAAACTGGCTGCCTTTGAATGGAAGCTTGAGATGCAGACACCACCTGGACCCTGAACCCACTTCCAGGGAGACTTGTCTATTCCCCAGGGTCTTTGTTCTTTCCTACAGTCCCTAGAATCCAGAGAGGATTGGGCTGGAAGGGGTCCTTTCATGTTACAAAACAAAAACCTTATTCATTCATTCAACAGCACCTATTGCCTGCCACTCTGGGCCAAACCATGAGCTGGGAGCTGGATGTGAAACAATGAACAAAACTGACACTACCCTAGGCACAGAGAGAGAAAGCTTCTGGCCAGAGGTCACACAGCTCAGACTCAGGAAAGGCAGGATTCCTGCCTCCAAGTTCTGCCTGCCAGGGCTTCAGCCATGCTGGCTGATGTATGCCTGGCTCCTTCCAGGTCAGGCCCTGGTTCTAGCTAGGGAGGTGCCTAGAAGCCTTTCCCCTGATCTACAAGTGACCCTCAAATTCCCACCTTGAGACACCTGATGCAGCTTTCCATACAAACTGTCCTGAACGTTGACTTCACTTTCTCTTGGTACAGTTTAAAGCCACTCCCAGCTGGGCCTTGGACAGTGAATGTTGCAAGCTGGCAGGATTTGGGAAAGGAAAATCTGCACCAGGGTGCTTTTCAATTACTCAAAAATAATTTTTGTGAGGTTTTACAGCCATCAGCAGAGGCTCGGAGAGGTGGTGTGACTTGACTAAGGTCACATGGTTAGGAAATAGCCCACCAGGAGGCAAACCAGGCCTGTGTGAACCCGAAACCGGCTGGTACCCACCCAAGCCCCACCTTCAAGAGGTCTGTGCCTCCGCCAGACAAGTGGCAAAGGCGACGGCACAATGCCGGAGAACACACAGCTCCCGTTGCTTCCTGAGCAAGCCCAAGGAGTGAGGCGGAGGCGCCGACGCGGCGCACTCACGGGGTGGGAGAGGGTGGAGCGCGTCGTGGACCGGGCCGCAACTCCCGCCTGCAGGTAGAATTTGGTCAAAACACTCCAGCGTGCAGGCGGTCCGGGGCGCCTGAAGCGGCCGCGGCGCAGAGGCGCAGGTCCCACTCGTAACCTAGCCCGGCGCTTCCGGCGCAGATCTTGCGCCCAGGAGGCTCATCTCGCCCTCTCCAAAAAGTCTCCCAAACTTTTGCGGTTATGAATTAAAAAAAAAAAAACTAAATAAATAACAACAGGGAACTTTTCAAAAAGGAGATGGAGGCGGATATCGGGTTCTTTCTCGGGCCAGAAAAGCCGAAGGCTCTTACCTGCAGGAAATCTCGCAGCCCGCAAAGGCGCGTCTGTCTGGAGCGCTTCGCTTCGGCTCGGGACGCTCACGGCCGCCTCCTCTGCAGCCCAGCTGGGCTCCGGCCCTGTGTTTTATACCACTATAGGCAATTAATATTGCATCAGCCGTATTTTAAATTTTCAAAACCCACAATATAATGTAATGGCATAAGGGCATTTATTATTAAAGGACACCCGATGGAGAGGGAGGTGGAGGCATCGCTGGAGCTGTTGCGCAAGGCGGGGCAGAGGGGCTGAGGTCCGGGTCTGGGGGCGATCCTCAGGATTGCTTTTGCAATAGGGGGGCGCGCTGCGCGGAGGGGAGACCCGCTCTGCTTGGAATTTCGGGCCAGAGATCTGATGACCCAGAGCTCTTTGAAGACGCAGTGGAGAAATGTGCATACGACTCCTGGACTTGGAGCATTAATTTTTAAATCATGAAGGTGTTTCTGCGGCTCACAAATAAAAAGGTTTCTTCCTCCTTTTAGAGGGAGTGGAAGAGAGAGAATGGATCTGGTATCTGCTGAGCATCTACTGTGTACAGGGCACTAGGCTAGGATCTTTGCAGCAGACATCTTATGTAGGCCCCTCAGAGAAGCCGAGATAGACCCTTGGGTGACAATTCCACGTGAATTTCTGAAGAGATCCCAAGGGACCTCAACGGACTCTGTCCCAGCGAAGAGTACTTGCCTGCCTGTTTGCATCCATCCCCTCACTTTCTGGCTAGCCCTTTGCTTCTTTTAAAATAGTGTTTCCTGTTAAGCGCCAACCACTACCAGGCGCCTTAAATAAACAATCTTAGTCCCGACAATAACCTTCCGAGGTAGGCATTAGCATCTTCATCCTGCAGACAAGCAATGGAGGCTCGGAGAAGTTAAGAAATTGCCCTCAGTATCGAACAGCCAATGAGTGGAGGCACTGGGGGCTCCTACTCCCATCAGTCAGGCATCAAAGTTTGCGCAGTCTGAGTGAAGTTGAGAAAAAGAGGCTGATAAATTCGCACGCGGGGACCCGTGGAGGGAAGTGCCTTGAAACCCTGAGGTCGGGAGACTAGCGGCGGGATCTCCTGGAGGGGATGAGGGTGAGAGGGTGAGGCGGCTGAGGAAGAGGAGAAAATAGAGCAGATGGCCGGAGACTGGCCTGCAGAAGTGACAGCCCAGCTCTTCCGGGTCTCACTTTCAAAATCCTTTCCAAGACTAGTACTTCTTAGCTTCTGAGAAAGAAAAGCACTGCGATTCGGGTTGAAAAATAAAGCATTTATTTTATAAGTTAATTCAAGGGTGAAGAGAGAAGAAAACAACATTTTATTTGTGTCTTTTCGGAGTATGAAACCAAAAGTCACACAGCAACACGCAAATTACATGAAGCAACGAAAGATAAAACGTGACGGGGCGGTCTGGCCCCTCTTTCCGCCCAAAACTATAAGTGAACTCCCACCCATATAAGGGGGATGGAAAGAAGCGAAGTTAAATAAATAATAGGAAACGATGCTAACAACAATAAGAAAAGCGCAACGAGGTTAGACGTGTTGGAAGGACTTGCATATGATTTGGAGAAGTTACAATTACTTTCGAGGGGCCGCCTCTACGCTGCGCTGGGAGTCTGGCTGGAGCAGCGAGCTCTGGTCAGAGAGTCCTCAATCTGTCCGGATCAGTACCAATCCCCCGCTCTCCAGCAAGCGGTAATCACCCCTCAAACGCTAGCAGATGTGGAGGATGGGCCAGAGCGGGTGCCGGCTGCTGCTTGCAAACAGCTAAGGGATCCCAGCATTTTCAGTCGCCAAATTGAGCCCACCTTGTCTGAAGCCCGACTTACCCGGAGAACAGCTCGGAACCCCAACTCCCCGCACCCTATCCCTGAACCTAATCCATGCCACCTTAGAGAACTTACAGCAGACCAAAGGATGAGGGGGATAAAATTTAGGCGGGGAAAGGAGTATAAGGCTATCCTTTGGAAACATACATGTATTTTATATATTCTAAATAAATCTCCAGTACGTTTGTGCCCCAGTTAGACTTTGTGTTATTATTTATCACTTCCTTCCCATCCCTTCACCGCTTGCCTAATTGCTCTTAGCAAAGTGGCGCCTTGACCACATAGTCGTGCGGGCAGGCCAATTCACTATCCCCTGCGTTTAGGCTCCTGCCCTGAGGTCGCACAGTCCGGCCCGCGAGGGTGATTTTCAGCACCACGGACAGCACTACTCCCTCCAGGCCTGCCTTTCATGAATTTTTTTCTTAGTGCCAAAACTTTTCTGGTGGGAATAGGAAGGAAAAAACATAAAGAGAAGGCCGGGAGGCAACCTGGCGGGATAAAGGGGAAAGTCTGTGGCTTCAGGGGAGAGAACCTGACCTGCCAGGAAATGTCCTGGAGTCCCCTATAACCGTTCCCCCCAGGACGTACACTCAGCTCTCCCGGCCCCGGACGCTGCGCCCCACCGCAGTCAGTGGACAGCTGAGTACTTCATTCGTTTCTGTTTCTGTCTCTGATTGCAGAACCAGACCCTCACCACGTTCTTTTTAAGGTCCAGTTTCTCAGCGATGGCCGCAATCTTCTCGGAGGAGGGTCGCGGCTGGATAGCGAAGTAGGCCTCGAGTGAGCGCTTCTCCGGCGCCGCAATGGACGTGCGTTTGCGCTTTCTCTCACTGCCGTTGAAGAGCTCCGGCTTGCTGTTTTTCTCTCGGTAGGCTGCCTCGGCTTCCTCCAGCCACGCCTGGAGCACTGGCTTGAGCGCGATCATATTGTTGTGCGAGAGAGTGAGAGATTCGAACCTGCAGATGGTGCTCTGACTGAGCGAGCCTACGCCGGGAATCTTGAGGTTGGCTAGAGCCGCGCCCACGTCCGCCTGGGTCACCCCTAGCTTGATGCGCCGCTGCTTGAAGCGCTCGGCGAAGGCCTCGAGCTCTCGCGGGTCCGACTCCACGTCGCTGAGGCATGTGGGCATGGCGCTGTGAGGCGCCACGGCGTGTGGGTGACTCATGCCCATGGCCTGGTGCAGGTGGCCCATGGCGCCCAGGTGGTGCGGGTGGATCTGCGCCGGCATCACCGAGTGCTCCGGGGCACCCAAGCCGCTCACGCTCAGCGTGGGCGAGATGTGCTCCAGCAGGTCGCCCTCGAGGCCCTGGTGCACCGCGTGGTGTGGGTGCGAGGTGAGCGCGGCCGGGTGGGAGATGGGCACGGTGGACGAAGTGGACGTACAGGGCACGCTGCTCATGGTATGGTAGGTGGCGTCGGGCTTGAATGGATGGTTCTTGCCGTGGGAGACGATATCCACAGCCGCCAGAGCTTCGGCGCGTGCCAGCAGGCTCTCATCAAAGCCTCCAAATATATTACCCTGCAGCTGCAAGCGAGAAGGCGCACAGCACGGTCAGTGGGGAATACTGTCAACTCAGGATTAAAACACATTTTCAAGCAACCGAGATGCGTCTCCTCAAAGCCCAGGTCATAAAAATTAATACGGGGACAGAGGCTCTGCTGGAACAGACGTGTGGATCAGAGACATGAATGAGAGAGAGCGCGCGCCGGGAGAGAGCGTGGGGGAGACAAGGAGAGGGGTTCAGACAGCGGTGATTGTTCTGGGCAACATGAAAAAAACATGAAGCAAGTGCCTGTCAAAAAATGTGCCTTAGAGCGGTAATTACGCTCCACTACGTACCTGCGGGGCTGGGAGACAGACTCGGCGCATGGCCTCGGAGCCGGAGTGCAGGCTGGAGAATTTGGGTTCTTGAAGCACCGGGTGCATGCCGAAAGGCTGCTTGGTGTTCATGGCCATCATCTTCGCGCGCCTGGCAGGGAGGCAGCGAGGGACATGGATCAGGCTCTTCTCGTTCGCTCGCCGCGCTCCAAGTGAACGCCGCTCAGCGCCCGCGCTCTCCTCGCCCTCTCGCTCGCTGCCTCCCCTCTCCCCCACCTGCTTCTTCACTCATCTTACAAGCAGCCTGCCAGGAAGGGCCCGGGCGCGCGCAGGCGTGCTCACGCGCCCGGGACTCGCAGGGGCGGCCCGGGAGGCGAGGCCAGGCAGCAGCACTCCACGCGCCTCTCTGTGCCCGCCACGGTCGCCCCCGCCACAGCATTTATACCCCGGCCCCACTGGCTTCTCCCGGTCCGCCCCGCCCCACCTGGCTCCAGCCCGGCAGACTTTCCGGATTCTTTCTTCTTCGTAGACATTTTTCCCCCCAAGTCCCAAACATCTCCTGTCCTGTCCCAACTCGCACTGCCCAGATCGAAGGGCAGCCCCGGGCTGACCAGGAAGCTGACCCTACTCCAACCCCCTATCACACACACACACACACACACACACACACACACTCCTTGTCGGCCCGGCTGCCGCCAACTGCCCATTTCCAGGGCGCTCCTGGCCCCACGCCCGAGCCGTCCACCAGAGCCTGGCCCCGCGGCGCAGCGAAGAGGCGCCTCCAAGAGCGCAGACCGGCTCCAGGGAGGATGAGGGGCTGCCAGAATGAGCCCCAGGTGACCCCCACGTCCCAACCGCTGCCGGGGTGAAGGTGGGGAAAGTAACTGCTTGCCCAGTCCTGGAGGCCTGTGGCTTCCTCCTGACGCTAGCCTTTCTTGCCTTCGTTGGAAAAAGACAATTGGCCCCCTCCCCCTTTGCCCAACCGGTCAGTCTAAAGAAGCTTACTGAGTATTTTTTAGAATAGTAATAGTTCGGGACTGCCCACCGGCCTTGGGAGTCAGTGCACTTTCCCTGGGCTGCGAACGCTTGCAAGCCCCATTCCCCATAACCATGGCTACCATTATTTGAGCTGATGATATGTGCTAGGCAATTTAGAGAGCTAGCTCATGGTATCCTCACACCCTATGGAGCAGGTGCTGTTATTCCGTTTTACAGATAAGAAAAACAAGGGTCAAAGGGGTTACGTGATATGCCCAAGACCAACAGAGTTGGTTGGGAGCAGAGCCATTCACACTCGTTCAGTTATCCATTCCACAAGTATTTACTGATGGCCTACTGTGTGCCAGGCGTCAAGTCTGACTTTCCAGGCTCTTAACCACTTAGTTACTTTGTCTTCCTTCCCGAAGATTCGGGACCCAAGTGCCCGGGGCTTAGTACTGCCCCGCCCCCGCCTCCCCTCTGCTCTCATCCCCTCTTGGTCCCTCCTCTCCTCTCCTTTCCACACGCTAGTAAACATCGTGAATAATGGATGGGGAATCCTGGGACCGCGGCCGCGCAGCCCTTCGGGATGGAGAGAAGCCCTGGGCGCCCAGCTGAGCCCACCTCGCGGGGGACGCCGCCTCCGCCCTGGGAACAGCCTTGGCCTTCGGGGTTCAGAGATCCGACCAGCCTGCGGGCTAAAGCCTCGCGTCCCGGGGGCGGGGGCCGGGTTTCCCAGAATGTTAAAATGGGGTGAGGGGGTGGGGTGCTGAAGGGGGCCACCCCTTGGCCTAAGAGGAAGCCCAGCCTAGGTCCGGGCTTCCACCCTCGGTCAGCCAATCCTTCTTCCGCAACCGAGTCAGTGCCCTAGCCTGGGTCCCGCCTTCCAATGAGAGAAAAGAGCTCATCCCAGGTGCGGTCCTTTCACTAAACCTCTCTGAGCCTGGCTTTCCTCGGCTCTAAAATGGGAGTTGCACGACTGTTTGCCTTCTTGGGTTCCAGCGAAGATGTTTCCAGCTGGAGTAGAAAGGAAAGCATCCAGCACCCAACGTGGTGCTTGGTAAACCTCCTCACAACCTCAGGCTTTGGGGCACAGCCTGGCTCTCAAATTCAGTAGGCCTCTGGGCCTATTGCCGGCTGAGAGGCCATGAGCCATCTCAGGGTCTGGGTCCCACAGTTTCCTCATGCATCAAGTGAAGGTGGTAGTTTCTCCTCCAGTGATTGTTGTAAGGAATGCACTGAGATAAGCATTTGGCACAGTGCCTGGCACACTGAAATCATGGAAGAAATGTTAGTTCCTGTCTTCTTCCCCCCTCAACTTAAAGAGAAAGCTTTTGGGAGCAGGAGCGGCCTGGGGCGTCCCCCTGGAGATGGTGTGCACCTGGTTTGTCTGCATGTGCAAACTAGTTCCTTGCTCTCCTTCACTCATTCAACACCTGCTTTGTGCCAGACCCCACGCAGAGGGCTGGGACAGAGAAATGAATCAGATTCCGTCCCTGTCCTCACAGAGTCACCAGTCTAAAATCCACTACGGGAAAATGACTGTAAACTTGTACTGCAGTGGAGATGCAGATTCATGCACCAGACACAGAGCAAGGCTGCCGGGGTTCTTGCAATACAGAATACACACCAGCATCTTGGGCCTCAGGAGGGCTGGAGTTTGGACAGCATTCTAACATTGGGCCTATGTGACCCTGGCTGGGCATCAGTTTATCCACAAGGGGAAGGCTGGACTGGATGATTGCTAAGTGCTTCCAGCTCTAGCAGAAGATTATTATTCTGGTTAATTTAAATGAGACACATTTTGAGCGAGTAAGGAGCTTCTCTCCAGAGCCCTTAACTCCCCAGGAGCTGAATGCAGCATAATTTTATCACTCACCAGCATTTAGGACCACTCATTCTTATTTTCTGCCCAATGTTGGAAGGCAAAAGGGAAAGGGGAAGGAAAGATGAGGATACTGGATCCTTCGGGGAGAAGAATCTGTAACTTGCCTCGCCCCATGGTGCCCTAAGACCTACACTCACTCCATAAGACCCTATTGTTTGTGAAGCTGAACCCCTAGAAACAGAGGGAAAGACTCAACCTTCCATCCTTCTCTGCTTTGTCCCCTCAGGGGCCTGGGAGACACTAGGCAGGGTGGAGGTCAGGCAGGGGTCAGACCCAGAGCAAAACCAGCTGGCCCCCTTAGGCCTCAAGTGCAGGCCTTCAGCTCACCAGCCCCACTCCAGCATTCCCAGGCATTAGATCAAAAATCAAAAATCACGCCTGCATCAGGCAACCTGTGTTCCCTGGGTTTTTCCTATACTTCCCTTCAAGAAGGTCTATTAGCAGCTCTGGGCAGCCAGCAGCAAGGAGACACCCAGCCTTAGGGACCGGTCTCTTTGAGAAGGCCCGGGAGGTAAGCGACTGGAGAAGAAAGGAGGAAAACATCATATAGAAGGCAATTGGAAGGAGAGCCATAGAACACAATTGATAACATCCTCTACACTTTATAGGATTTGCAAACTTAAATTCTATCAGGGGCAAGTCTGGTAAAATAAATTAGCTGAGTGTATAAAAGGGAAGATTGGGACTGTGGTAAGCCGGAGAGCACACGCCCCTGACCCCACGCCCATGGCATTAAATGACAATTAAAACACACACACATATACATAATTTACGAACCAAACAAAATCTGTCTGAGTGTCCAAGTAAGAACCACATGGGCATTTATGCAAGTGATGTTAAAGGGAGCATTTTCTTCATTTTACAATCATTTCAGAACACCTGCTACAGCTGAGTGTTGTGGTAGTTTCTGCAGTATAGAGTACACTGCTTTGAGAGCTCAGAGTCAGGTGGGGACATGGAATTGCCACATGTAACCCGAAGTCAGGACACAAAGCACTATGTCCTCCAGAAGGACCAGCTCTATAGGGATGCTGGGGCAGGGGGCAGAGGCATTTTCCTGTGGGCCAGTGGTTTTCAACTTTAGTACGACTGGGAATCATCTGCAGCCTCTTAAAATCAGCAACCTTGGACCACACCCAGAGATTTTGACCTCAAGGAATCAGGTGCTTTTTAATAGACATAGGTGACTTGCATGCAAGTGATCTGGGACCCTCAACTGGAAACTTGTTACTTGACATCATCATTATTATTGTTATTATTTGAAAGCCCTGACTTGATTATGTAAGTTTCACCCCAAGACTCAAAGAGAGAGTTTTCCTTCTTTGAGTCTTCTGCATCTTCCTCTATTATCTCTTGGTAAGAACATGATGTTTTATGGTCTCTGCTCCTTGAAGGATTCTGGGACCTCTTTGAGGATGAGTCATATCTGTCCTTGTGTCTCCAGTGCCTATGTCTAGAGGCTAGACACCATGTAGGAGCTTAATATAGTATTTTGTGTTGAATGAATGAATGTATGAATAATACTCTCCCCGGGACTCTGGCCTATGGTGATGGTGACAACAAGAAGAGCTTTTTGTGGAGCGGTTCCTGTGTGCCAGGCTCTGGGCTATGTGCTTTAGAACTATTGTACACTGAATCCCCACATCAAGCCTGTGAAGTTGATATTGCTATCTCCATTTTACAGATGAGAAAACCGAGGCACAGAGAGACTGAGCTGCTCAAGGTCACACAGTTAATTATGGTAGGGTAGGGATGGGAACCTAGATTTTTCTGACTCCCGAGCCAATGCTTTTAACTAACATCCTGGTCTGGCACCAGTTTTCCCTGCCACCCAAGCCAGGAGGCTGAGGGAATGGGATGAGCTGGCTTTTACTTTTCTCCCAGAAGGCAAGAAGGCCTTGCTTCCAAAGGCTCAGAGGCTGGCCCTGCTCCAGGCAAGCTTCCGGCTGAGGCCAGTGGGAGAAGCCAGCAGCTACCCGCTCCCACCTGCATCCCCGGCCAAGCTCCACCTCAGGGAGTTGGGAGGGGGAAGACGGGTGGAACGGGAGATGGCCCGGATAGGACTGCCGGCCGAACTCAAGATGCCATCGCGGGGAGGCAGCTGGTGGGGCTGCCTCGCCAGGTGTTCGCAGCAGCCCGCCTCACCTTCCTCTCCCTTTCTCTCGTCTCCTTTCACAAACTTCTCACATGTACCCGCCGCCTGCGCAGCTGCTGCCGGACTCGCCTGCCGGCCGCGCCCCGGCATTGTCTGCACGGACTCCGACGATTCGAGATG